ACAGCTCTGCCCACCAGTGTATCGACCAGGCCCCCCTGCCTGGGTCACCTGTGGACTTCTGAGCATGGACAGTGACCAGGCTGTGGGCAGGAGCCTGGAGCCTTCCTGCTCTTTGCTTTTCTCTCTCACAGCTCTGAGCTTTTAAGAAATTTTAGCAAAAATGCCAGTGCCTAGAGCCAGCAGGACCAGCCTCGTCTTTCATTGGTGATGCCACTGCTGCCCCTTGCAGTCCCAACTCCAGATCATTCCTCCCATGTCACTCAGCTCCAAGGCCACTGTGGAGCTGGAATGGCATTTCCTTGGCATGCAAGTGAAGCAGAGATGGGCTCTGGTCTGAAACCAGAGCAGGAAAGCCCTGAACAAGGTCAGGGTCCCTGCTCAGCCCATCACTGTTTCACTGAGGTAGCTGCTGGGGAAGCACAAAGCGCAGGTACAAGACAAAGAACAAAAGTCCCAGGGGAACGTCACCAAGCGTAGTCATCTCCACACATGCAAAGGTCCCTTCTGGCTTTTTTTTTTTTCCCCCTTTGAAATTTCAAATTCCAGTTTGTGGACAAAGTCCTGCCTATCTGAGAATATAGATCTCCGACCACTGACCAAACTCCACTCCAAGCAGTCCCGAGGGCTGCTCTTCCCCTTGCCCACAGATGCCTCTGTTCACTCCTTGGATCTGCCAGAATTTTGCAGAAACTTTTGCACTGGAGCACAGCACTGGTACTTGCACAAAATGGATTTTGCACTTAATGTCAGCAGCTCCCTTTCTCCACGGTGAACAGGAAGGACCATCGGGAATAACCAGGTAGGAGCCTTATCACCTGCAATTCATTTGGGCAACCATTGCAGATAGAAAATGAGAAGGAGAAACAAGGGCTTTCATTGTGCTTATACCAGCAATTTTAGCTCATCATTTAAATAAGGGAAGGGAAAAAAAAGGGCAGCTTCAGAGGGGATGAAAAACAAGAAGGAACATGAGCTTGTGGAGGCAGAGCCACTCTGTATGGTTAACTGATAACTCCAATTTGCCTCTTCCCTCTCATCTTTTCTGATTCTCTCAATTAAGCTCGACTCATTCTCATGCTAATCATTTCTTGACCTGTTTATTCTGCATTAAAAAATTAACAGAGAGCAGTTTACTGCATGACTTGCTCACACAGAACTGCTACAGATTAGCAGGCAGGCTTTAAGCCTCTATGCAGGACTTTTGGGTCTAGCAGTGTCTGCTCAGCTCGGGGATGAGCTTTTTTTCCTGTTTTTAAAGAACAGCTTTTTCTAAAGTCAATATAAATCCTCCTCCCTTCATGCCTTAAGTATATTTGCTCTGTGACTATTTCCAAATGGGAAAGATAAAGCCAAGGGCTTGTGTTTTGTCAGACTTTTGGTAAACAGGGATATTTAGGCCACACTGTCAAACCCTTCTGCTTTCTGCCTGGGTGTGCCACGACTCTGGAGCAGAGTTGTCAGTGTGTTAATAAGCAGCTCCAAGGAATTTGTTAGGGGCTGGGGGGGCTGCAGGTCAGTGCAGCTGCACAAGCCCCCAGTTCAAGCAGCAGATCTTTGCCTCCTCTCTGGGCAATCATATGACTGGCACACAGGTGGGAGTCTGCTCCCATGTCTGTCCCCAGGATGTCCCCAGCAGCAGCAAGAAGCTTCCAGGAAAACTGA